AAAGTGGCTGAGTGAAATCTACAGCATAGCTCAAACTTGTATTGTCCTGCATTTTAAGGTTTCTGCGGTATTTAGTCATAAAACGAGTCAAAATCATGCATAGGACTTCCTATTCTTCACTCTCAATTAAAATTTCACATTGAATGGGAGGTCGATTCCAATAAGCATCAGACTGAATTGCCTATCATCTTAAACACATGCTTTTTGGAGGTATTTACTAATATGCAATTTAACCTTCAATAGAATGCCATTCATTCAATTGAGACACTTTGAAGCGAGGCATTGTCATGCGATTCGTCGCATCCAGAAATTCACAGGTCAAGACACAGGAGACTGAAGAGGTACAAACCTCCGCTCAGTGACTATCGCACTCGCATGCCTTGTAGGGACTTATTGAGTAATTAATGTGGCATGGAAAAAGTGTAAACGCTTTAAAACAAAATCAATCACTGACGAAGGGGCCACATTGAATTGAAGGAATGAGGGGTGGGGAATCACTTATCCCCAGGCTCTAATGTCACAAACATCTGCAGCTAGCAGTACTCTGTCACGCAATAAGCCGAACCGAAACGGAAAATTAATTGCATGAAACTAAATAGCCTCTGCAGTCCGGAGGTCCCAACCTACTCTACTGCCAACTCATGGTTACTTGGCGAAAGTCAAGTCCTTTGATCTTGGTTACAACCTGACGGTTGTTAGTGAACACTATTGTCTCAAATTTGGTGCTTAAGTACCATTCGGTGCACTTTAAATGAAACATACCACATCAGTGCTTGAATATACCAACCGAAAGCGGGAAAGCGTGAAGGATGTGGGTGACGAACCTATTGCCATCGGACTTAACGGTACTTCCATGCTATCAATCGAGATAATAATGCTTTGTCGAAGGAACCTTTCCATACAACAGTCTTAAAGACGCCTGGACAGCAATTACTCTACCCGTGCAACAATCCATGGAGTATCAATTCAAGAAAGGCATATAGCGTGGGAAATTTTTTACAGAAAATTTTCTATGCGTAGTAGAGGTGTGCTTGACATTTGATGAAGCATGTGTGTACACGAATGCACGCCAGGTCTGAGGTCTTGAAGCCACTACGACAAGGGGTTGGCATTAACAGAATTAAGGAAGGTGCGTTTTACTTTTCTACAAGCACGTTACATTGTCGAGCATCATACCATTCTTAAGGCATTCTATATTATTAGGAGCCGTTATTTACCCCTTGCAGTTTCTTGCATTCAAGTTCTACGAATGTGGTCTTGCGTATTGAAGCACCATTAGCAAACTGGTATGCAGCTAAATGAGATTGCAACTAGGTGGCATTGACTCCAAAAAAAAATTAAGAGTAAACTGAGATTGAAGAGATCCCAGTGCCTTTTAAAGCACAGCTTGCGTACCAATTTTCTGGTCTGCTTTGCAGTAATCCGGCGAGTAATCCAGGTAAACCAACTTATCCTTTTGACGCTTGATCCACTTCTCACCATACTGTGTTTCACGTCGCCTCCGCTGCCAACCTGATGGATCACTGGTACCACCACCAGAAACAAACCAGTTAGTGCTACGTTTCATGAGATGTCCGGCAGGCAGTGGCATTCCTCCAAAGTAGAGGGGATCAGCAAGTCTACGCAACTGGCGCGTGGTAGCATCGAAGAAGACTTGGAGCGCGTTGGAATAAGCCTTCTTCAGCAAGTCACCAACAACTTGAAATCCACCGACACGCTGCCAACATGTCCGCAGGGAACAAGCACCACTGACGCCATGGCACTTGCACTTTTTCTGGCGACTTTGCCAGATAAACTGTGGTAGAGATAAATGGAGAAGCGTCAGGAGGGATTAAAAAGCTTTACCATTGTAAAGAAGATATTCAGCCCATTATATAAAAAGAGTAGCAACTAGCTATTGCATTAACAGAATAAAAGTTTATTTCTTTTGAACTCCCAGCAATGCGTGAACTTTAAGATTTTATTTTGCATTTTAGAAGAACCATTGTTACGCCGGAAGCAATGGAAACAGGAACCAAAACCGGATTATGCAAAGATTTAAGAAAGTTTTTATGGAAAATTTGACAAACCCTAATGCTTGGCATGTTTTTTATGAG